TGTGTGTGTGTGTGTGTGTGTGTGTGTGTGTGTGTGTGTAATACGTTCTGACCTCACTAAACCCCGCCCCCCCTCCAGGAAAACCTTCGTCAGTATGTCGACCGCATCTTCAACGTCATCACCACCTCCGGCGTTCGCTGCCCCACCGTCATGTGTGACATCTTCTTCTCTCTGCGAGAGTCCGCCGCCACTCGTTTCCAAGGTAACAGCAGGACGTACTGCAAAGTTAAAGTTAAAAACTGAAAATCTACTTTCTGTGGAACAAATAAAGGCTCTGTTTGATTTTTGATCCTTAAAACCCTTAAAACACTAAGGCTTCATGAGATTGTGGAATAAAGTTGGTTTGTACTGCCTCCTGTTGGTCGTCTGGTGGCATTACAGCTTAAAGAAAAGACATTTTACTAAAATCTAGTTTGAAAAGTCTTTATATCTTTTTATTTTTGTTTAGAGCCCTGAGTTGACTTCTTTAGGTGAACTGCAGCAAAATAAATTAATTGAATTAAATCGAAAGACATATTCTGAAGAAGCTGAAGTTAAAATGAGCGAACCTGAGGCTAAATTTAGCTAAATAGATGCCAAAGCTAAAACTAGCAAAGCAATAGCTAATAACAAAACAGATGCCAAAGCTAAAACTATAACAACAGCTACTTAGCAAAACTGAGGCTAGAGCTAAAAAAAAAAATAGCCAAAGAGATGCTAAAATAAACTGTAGCTATAAATAACTGAAAGATGCTAAAGCTAAAATTAAGAATAACAATAGCAAAAGTAGTGAAATAGATATTAAAGCTAAATTTAATAAACCTGCAGCTAAAATTAACTAAATATATGCAGTTAGTAATGAATAAGTTAGAAATATTTCTTAGAAAACTGCTAACAGATGTTAACGCTAAAGTTAGCATGTGTCTAAAATTACTAAAACTGATGCTAGTATTAGCAAAACTGTAACTAYAAGTATCAAGCTAAAATCTGCAAAAAAGTATCTGACATAATCTAAAGTCGTAAAGGACCACAACTRTAGAAGCGTTACTAAAATCTAAAAGAAGCAGAGCAGTAGCTAAAAGCTTAAAGG